TTTTTATAAAGTTGTGTTAAAAAAAAAAAAATTAGTGACACAAAAGCCTAAGAATTTTCCAAGAGGTTAAATAAAACTTCAAGAAAATTCATAATTTTTAAATTAATGTTTATTTCAATTTGAAAGCCAATGTTTTTAAAATTTTTTTATAATATTTTTTTCTGATTTCATCAAGTTGAGGCCTTGATTTTTGCATTATAATTAAATTTCTTATCGCGGCCCTTTTTTATGGAGTAAAATAGTTTTGCTTAATTTCGATTTGTCTTTGAAATGAACTTTAATTTATTCAAATGGACTTTAATTTATTCAAACGAAAATTAAAAAAGTTATCTTTTCAACAGAAAGTATTTTTTCTTATTTTTAGTTCTTTTATTTCATATATTTTATCCAGTAAATTTATATTTTAAATGCACAGTTATATATAGTTAATTTTGATTTATTTTTATTGGTTAATTTGATCTTTTATTATTATTATTATATTTGATATTGTAAAGGGCTTTATAATAAGATCGTATGATCTTCTGGAAGTCCTGCTAATTATATTTGTAAAAAACATTAGTAGTATTTTTTCACTGCTGCAGATTTAATTTTTTTTGAATAATATTATTTTATTTCTATAATATAATTTACTAACGTGCCCTAGTTCACTTTTTAAAGGAAATAATAGCCTACAAAGAATTAGATTTAAAAACAGACGGGGACTCAAAGAAGATATGGATGATGAAATAGATTATTTTGGAAATTTGGTTTATGATTTTTTAGTGTAATAAATGCTTGCATTAGTGCAACTGATTCAATTCTAGCTTCTAAATTAATTTTTTCAGCAATGTATTGGCCTTCTAAATTAATTGCATTTTCCAAGTTTTTAGGGGCCTTTGCAAAATTATTGAAAATATTATTGTGCAGTATTTTATGATGATTATCTGGGGTATATGGTATATGTTGCTTGTTTTATCAGCAAAAACTAAAATATTAGGGTTTGATTTTATATTATTATATCTAATTTGAGTTTTTATTATTTACATATTAAAACGTTATTGTTTTATTCAAATGAAGTAAATCATTTTCAAAAATGATTTACTTCACTTGAAAATCATTTTTGTTTTTTGTTTGAATCCAAAATTTTTTTTTGCTAATCAAAAAATATTATCTACAAATGCATTGCTTCCTTAAAAAATAACCCTGATAAACAATATATTGGCTTCACTGAGCGCAAATGGAAAAAACGTTATGCCAGCCACAAAAAATCTTTTAAACATAAAAAAATACTTAAAAGAGACTACTCTTTTAAAATATATTTGGCAACTAAAATAAAAATATCTAGCAAAATATCTACAGTAATTACATAATTATTTATAACAATTTCCAACTTCCTGTAAAATATTTTATGTATAATTTGAACTATTTGATGTTTAGACATTCTTCCTGATGAACCTACTGATGGAGAAATAAGTTGTTGAAGAAAAAATTAGATAAGAGTTTTTAGTAATTTATGTATCTGTAGCCATTAGTCAATTTATGATAAGTGAACTGGTCATTTTGAGATAAGTATGCAGTTTTGCTATATTTCATTAGATCTTTTATTTGGTCAAACTACTATAGTTTGCTGTAGTTTAAAAAAAAAATTATTTTTATGAAAAATAATTCATTTTTTATTATTACCCTCGGCTTATTGTAACAAATCAAATTTTTAAATTCTTCATCTGCAAAATGCCATTAATAAAAAAATATATGCATGTTGGGTCAAATTAGGCAAAATTATATGAGTTTATCAAGCAATATTATTAAACCAGTGCAATTAGTCTTATGTAAGTATTAAAAAAAAAGAACCTGTCTAATCCAGTTTAATTAACATATAAGAAACAAGTGAAAAAAAGTACCTCAAAACATTAAAGTTTTGATTTGTAAAAAATAATTCAACTATCTTATTTTGTACTCTAAATGTACTTAATGTATAGTTTAAAGCTAAATTTATATATATATATATATATATATATATATATATATATATATATATATATATATATATATATATATATATATATATATATATATATATATATATATATATATATATATATATATATATATATGTAGGCAATTCCACGGCAGAAAATGAAAAAGTAGTCAAATTTTATTCTCTTTTTTGTCAACTTTTAGCAAATAAATATTGATGTAGACAGATGAAAGTTTATTTAAAATATATCTTTAATACTAAAATTCATTTATTTATGTCATTTTTATGACTCAGAAAAACTTGTGGTTTTTCTCATTGTCGCGTGGAAAAAAGGTATCATTGTAAAATGTTATTCTAACCAAATTCTATTACAATAAGAAAATATAAAATCTTCTTTATGAACTATAAAAACATATATTCAATTTTTGCTAAAATATATACAATCTAATAGAATATATAGAATTAATGTTTATCATTGTTTTTATTTTTTATTGTACGTTTAACAACGCTAATAATATAATATTTTTATTAACTTATTAAATACTTAATATGATATTATTTTTTTAATTTTTAAAAGAGAAATGTCAAAACAACTTTTATTTTATTTTTGACTCCTTTTAATTTAATAAAAATTATTTGAAAATAAAACTTGCTTATATGACAAATATCGCTTAAATTAAACGTTTGTCATTAAATAAAAATACAAAGGTCAACGTTCATTAAAAAAAACAGTTTGTCGCGCACTGGTCTTGTAACAGGTAAAAAAACCAAAATTTTATAATTAATGAGTAATTTTTTTAATGAATAAACAGATAGATCTTGCTAAAATCAAAAGCTCTCGTAAGAAACTGTTTACAGGAGCAACTCGCTTGACATGCTTGTTTTAGGAGAGCTTTTTATAACTCTCACACTTATTTCTTACCCCCAAGGCCTGTATAGGGGAAGTGGGGGCATAACCGCATATGGAGACACAACCGTTTTTTAACATTTCCTTTTGTTATCTAATATGGCAAAAAACATACCACACATTAGTAAAACAGTTTCTTTCATTTCACTTATTTCAAAAAGAGTGCCTGTTACGTTTCTGAGAAATGGGTGCTTAATGTTTATTTTGACAAAAATATTATATTGACATCATATTTTTCCAGACCTTATTTTGAGGATTAAGCAATATTTGATTTTAGTGTTTAAGGTATGTATTATCAGCATTCTTTTATGATGGCTCAAAAATGGTTTCAAGTGAAAATCATTTTTGATATCAACATAACCTTATAAGCAAGCTATGAAACTATATTCTTTCTGAAAACTGTTCTCTGGAGCAGAACCACAAAGACGCACAGAAAGTGCGTCTTTGTGGTTTTTTGGCTTTTGTAGTGTAGTCCTATTATATTGCAATATAATTCACAAGAAAACTACACAGAAAGTACAACCACATACTTATAATATTTATCAAAGTAAGGTAATTATAAACAAATATAATTACAATCACTACATTTGAATGCGTTTATGTAAAAACTTGAATAAAAATAATTTTGTTTTAAGATGTTGGAAATGAGATTTATTTAATTTTTATAAATGAGTTTTTGAATAAATATAAAGCTAATAGTATATCAAATAAGAAAACTCAGACTGTAAGTATAAAGAATGCCTGTACAGTATGCAAACGTGCAACAAAATCAGCAAATAACCTGAGCTGTGACAATTGTAAAGTAAATGTACCAAGGAAAGTGTACACCCAACAATTTTTGTGAGAGTGCGGTTGTGCCTCACAATGGGGGCAGAACCGTTTTTTTCATTAAGTGTAATTTTTGTGTAATAACATTTTCAAAAACTGTTTATTTTTTCTCTCAATTGCATCAATATAAAGCTTAGTGATGTGGTTATTGAAATAAACTATTAAAAAACGCATTTCATTTTTATTTTCATATAACATCAATCCAAACGTAATGGGGGCCGTTTTGCCCCCACTTCCCCTATATATATTTTTCTTGAATGTTGTAACAGTATAAAAAGAGTTAATATTTTTTAAATAACACAATATTTTTTATTTATAACATGTTTTGGAATACAATTAAATTTAAAAAGATTAATTTTACAATAAAAACTCTAAAATAACTATTGAAAAAAGCAGACTATACAGAGAAATATTACCAAACAAAAAATATACACAATAAACCAACTAAATTAAGGACCAGCAAATATTCGTTAAAAATTGAATTACAAAGTTTACTGAAAGTTGACTTCGGCTTCGACTTTGGTGCTGAAGTTGAAATAGAAATTCGTCTTTCAGTTAAATTTGGTAACAATTTCAAAATTTTATTTAACTTTCAGTTAAATTCAAAAGCTATAAAAAAAATTTTTTAATTTTTTTTTTAATTAAATGTGTTTTTAAAATCCAAATTCGTCTTTCAGTTAAATTCGGTTTAGAAGTCCAAATTTGCCTTTCAGTTAAATTCAGGCTACATATGCGGCTTGAATTTGTCTTTCAGTTAAATTTGGTATACATATATAATCTAAATTCATCTTTCATATAACTTTGATAAAAAGTCATAAAAAGTCGACTTCGCTGGTCCCTAAACTAAATGTCTTGTTGGTTTATGTGTATTTATAAAGCAACAAAATGATTACAAAATTGAGTAGGTAAATAATTAATCGATATAAGTTTTTATAAAAATTCAAATCTGAAACTGTTGAAACTGAAAGTGAAACTAAAACTTGAAAACCTCAACAAAAAAAATAAACTTCTTAATTCCCTTAATATATTTAACTGTTATTACTATACATGGTAAATGCCTATTACCATGTACTAATAGCATAACAATTGACGAATATATTACAAATATATAAATACTGTCCATAAACAAATAGCATTTACATGGTTTTTACGCATTTACTTGATTTAATAACTGTGCATACATACAATAAATAAACAATACAAGGCTTTATCTATTTCTTACTGCTAATCTCATTGTTTAACAGGTTTGGGGAAGTGAAATGTGTATATTTACACCTTAAAGTAATAAAAATAAACTCTATTGTTTACCTTTAAACCTTCTGGACTAACTTCTTCACACTGTTTAGCTACAGCCTCTAAATTTTGTACATTTCTTCCACATAAAGAAAGTTTAGAACCAAGTTTTGAAAAAAGGATAGCTGTTTTTGCGCCTATACCAGAACTTGCTCCTGAATAATAAATAAAAAGACCATAACTGTTAGTTAAATTATCATCTCATAGGGCTAGTGATTAATAAAACTAGTAATTAAAAAACTAAATCTCTGATTTCATAAACACATTTGTATACTGCAATTAAAGAAAATGAATCGGTTTAGTAAACTATAAGTTTACTAAACAGAACAAATAAATAACACACTGGATTAAAACAACAATGATTTTTTATTTAAATTATGACAAACAAAATGCTATGCATTATTAAGTGCTTGACATTGTTCTTTAATCAAACAAAGATAAATAAGGTAATTAACTTTAATGCTGTAAAAGGATTTTCTTTGATATAGAAAAATGAAAAACAAACCAGTTCTTCTGAAGATGTTTCATTAAAAAATATATATATATTTTGCATACAAGTATCAGTGATTAGTTGGTAATAAAGCTTTTATTGACAATAATTGATATCTACAACCAGACACTCCTCATATATTCATATATATATATATATATATATATATATATATATATATATATATATATATATATATATATATATATATATATATATATATATATATATATAAAATTGAGAGTGCTTAATAAAATAAGAATTCCTTGAAAATTTTAGCCTATGGCTTCAGGAAGATCTTGAAATATGATCGTTTTACTTTTAGCAAATATTGCCCAGGTCCCTCTTGTCCCCTAGAATTGCAACCATTATTTAGAGGTCTCAAGTCACATAACTTTAAAAATTATTTAATTTTTTTACTTAAAAAATTTGTTACTGGCTATTTTTGGGGGGTCAATAGTCAAATCAGAAGAAATAATCAAAAGTGTAAAAAATTATTTTTAAGTACCTGTAATTATCAATTTGAAAAAATTTAGGCAACTTTTTAAATACCTGTTTTTAATGCTTAAGAAACTTATGTGGCCTTGATATCAAAAATATATATGTTACACACCTATATTTCTTGATCTTTCTAAAAAATATAAGGATTTTGATCTGCAAGTAAATGGAGTTCCATATATGGATAACAGGGCATGGTCCCCACTTTTTCGTAGTGGAATACTGCAATTGATTTTTTACTATCTTCCAGACTAGCTGAAGCTCTGAAAATTTTGGCATTTCTTTAGTGCCAATGAATGTGCATGTTAAAATTGTTTTTAGGGCCTCAAAACATAAGGCAGTCTTTTGTCAACTTTTCCATTTGTTGCCTAAAATATCTTGTTTGACAATTTGCAATGTCGGAATGAGCTGTTGACTTGTTTATTACCCCCAGCTCTCGGAATTAGGGTCAACATTCTGCAATGCCGACCTAACAGCCAAGCTTATAGTGTTTGAAGTCAACAAAAAATTGCAGACCTCTTTTCAATGTTTTATGGTAAGGCCTTTGTATCAAATTTTTTTTTGCTGAGCTGATGCCGACCTCTAAAAGATTGAGGTCAGCAAATTATTGCCAACCTCATTTTTCCTAATTCCGAGGGTTGTGCCTCTGATAACATCAATTTGAACTCTTTCAATGTTATTGTTTGACAGATCAATGTTGTTCTTTTTATTTATTGTTTTTCTGTCTGTTTTATTTTCAATTCAAAAAGTTTTAAAATATACAATGTAAAATTCTGTTAGAATCATTATTTTAAATAAATGACTGTTAGACTGATAAGTTAGATGACTGTTAGATGCCTGTTAGACTGACTAATAGATGACTGATAGATGATTTTTCACTACTTTCCAGACAAACTGGAACAGTGAAACTTTCAGCAATTGTATAGTCCTGATCAATGTGTGTTAAAATTATTTTCAGGGCAGATGACCAGAGGATCCATTAGGCCAGTGCACTTAAGGCCACGCACCACTTTTCTCAAAAAATTTTTGACACCATGTCATCTTAGCTTTTGATGATTCGGAATACAAGTTTATATTAATGAAAAAAAAACTTTACTCTTAATTTTAATATCAGACTTCTTACAGTTTCAGAGATATCAAAACTCAGTCCTTATCTCTTTTTTGATTTTTTTCAGCACCATTTATTTTTTAAGCTAACATAACACAATTAGCTTTAACTTATGAAATACTTGCTCAATAGTGTTGCAAATTTGTACCTAACTATTTTTTAGGGAGAGGAACTCAAAAATGATGGCTAAAACAATAAAAAAAATTAAAGCTTTTTTATGAAAATTTAAATTCAAAATAATGTAATACTTTTTGATGCCCCGTACAAAAAATGGTAATTTTGAGATGCCTGAAAAATACGATTATGAAATTTTTTCCTAATGTTCTATATGTAAAAAATGCCATTAAAAAAAAAACTGCACGAGTAATCTTTTTTAAATCAGATTTATTTGCATTTAGAGTTTATAATTCTAAACCCCAAATCAATTTTTTTTAATTCTATAAATAATCAGAAATATATGAATGTTTTGCAATGCAAGAATGAACAGTAAGTTTTTGTAACTTATTTATTAATATTAACAAAGAGTATTAATGAAGCGGCTTGTGATTTCTGTTAGACTTACTAGCTAAGACCAATCTGTTGTTTTCCATTGTTTGTAATTTATACAATAACCATTATCTTCATCAATATCTTCTTGAGAGTACATACAGTATGTGCATGATCACAAACATACTTAATGCGTACCAGATGCTCACACTGTAATGCACCATTTTGGATGATTTGATCAAAAGTGAGAAAAACAAGTCTTTATATCAGGATAACTGGTTTTAAACTTAGCATACAGTAAATACATATACATGCAAATGAGATATTTCTTTTCCTTTTTTTTCAGGGAAAAATAGAATATCATTTTTCAGCACCAGTTTGCGTGATATCTGCACTATATAATTAGTAACATTGAATTCTTTTCCTATACATTTGATAGACCAAGGTATTGGAACCAGTAATAATTGAATTTTCCGATTCCATTTGAAAGATAACATTTTTTCTTTAAGTTTTCCTAAAAGTATATCCATATCATTTGCTTTACATTTAACTTGCTTAGATAATTTATTGAAGTTCTTGGCTGATTAGGATCTTTATTGTAAGTCCTTGTACTTTACTGTTTTTTGAACATGTAATGATTTCTTTTTACCGTGAGCAACTTTTGAGTGACTATTCACAGCATGCGCTTTAAGAGAACTTATGTTCATAGCCATCAAAAAAGAATTGAGTTTAAGTGAATTGTTTTAAGTAAAGTATACTCATGGAAGAAAACCATTGCATTTTCATCACTTTCGATGCCAGACAACTAATTGTCAAGTCTTTTTCTACATCATCGAGACTTAAAATTTTCTTGATATCATTGGATTTGACTTCATTTATGATATTTTGATTTTCATATCATTTTTGATATCATTGGATGTTTGTTTGTGACAATTTTCTTTATTTATCAATCTAATTAAACATCTTTCTTTTCATCAATATTTTTATACAACCTTTTAGGTTTGTAAGAAATAATTTTAAAATAATTAAAAGTTTTTTAAATAACATGAAGGTTGTACAATGTGAAGATCTTTAATGTGAAATGCAAACAAATTTATATATTAAAACAGTACCTGATATTCTAAAATCTTTTAAAAAAATGCAAAAAAAAAAAAAAAATGTATATAATTTTTTTTTCATTATTAAATAACAATTTTTTTAAATTTTTTTATAAAACTTTTAATGCAAATAAATCAGATAAAAAGAAAACCCCTACTGTTTTTTGTAATAAAGAGTTTGTTATATATAGAACCATGGAAAATATTTCAGAATCGTATCTCTTAGGCATCTCAAGATATACTTCTTTTTGTACGGGGCATCAAAAAACTTATAAAAAGTGTTACAACATTTCTTAAAACATTTTAAGAAAGATCATTGAATACAGAATGATCAAAAACCAAAAAAACCAAATGAAACAAATATAAACCAAAAAAAATTATTATTTACTGTACTTGCCAGTAGAAAGTGACCATGTATTTGCATGTACATTACATGTACATGCAAGTACATGGTAATGTACATGCAATACCAGTAGTAAATGGTAATGTACATGCAGTACCAGTAGTAAGTGACCGCGGCTGGGGCCCCGGTCACTTACTACTGGCAAATGCTCTAAACAACTTAAGAAAGTGCAACAATCATAACTACTAAGTAACTGCTCTAAACAACTTAAGAAAGTACAACAATCATAACAAATGATTAAATGACATGACAAATAGTAACATATAGTATATGTTATTATTTGTCATTTGTTGTTTTAAAGTCACTTAAATTTCTTTAATGCAGAAAAAAAAATCGTTTTTTTTTTCGCAATTTTTTTTGCTGTTTTTTTTATTTATTTTTATGTTTGGAACTTTATTTGGATAAAAACCAGCATTTTAAAACATACAATTCAAAAACTAATCATAATATATATGAGACAGTGAAGATCTAAATCTACTAAAGTATGCACAAAGTTGCAAAAGATACTTCCACACTTAGATATACCAATGGTGGTAAAAAACAATACTTAGATTAATTAGTGCTATATTTATATTTTAAATTAAAAAAAAAAAAAATAACAAAACATCAAAATTTTGTTTTTGTTTTATACTGCTTTTATTATTCTACTTTACAATTACATTTCTTTATTTAGAAAACCTATTAGTCTTCCAAAATTGTTCTTCAGAACTCTCTTCAACTCTTTCTAAACTATTTAATAAGTGCTTGACTAAGTCTTGTTTTCCTGCCTGCTGGAAAACGGCATCTGTGTTCATATTTTCAAAAACTCAGGTGAACATTTTGACCCCTCCAATTATCGCCTGATCAGTCTTCTTTCTGTTATTAGTAAGGACTTTGATCAACAATTTTTCACATCCCATCTTGAGTCAAATAATTTACTGTCAGACAATCAATACAGGTTTTGGTCCTCTTGCTTTATGCCTGAAAATTTTTATGATGTATTAGACAGAGGCAAAGAGGCTAGAGTTATTGCTCTTGACATACCTAAAGCTTTCAACAAACTTTGGCATAGTAATCTTTTCCATAAACTTGTTTTTTAAGGTGTATCTGGTAAAGTTTTTGAGTTAATTAAATTGAGATTAAATAGAATTAAATAGTTTCATTCTAATCTCTTTATTAGGGTCATTCTCGAAGGCCAACACTCTTCTTTATTTCCAGTAACTTCTGGGGCATCTCAAGATTCTATCCGTTGTCCTGTTTTGTTTCTAATTTATATTAATGAATTTTCTAAGAACCTTACATCTAAAGACATCTACTTTTTGCTGATGAGTTAGCTTTATACTTCCTGTCTTGACAGAAAGTTTTCTCTTTTCAATCACTTAGAACAGGCAGCCGATCTTAAATCTGATTTCACTCCTGTAACAGATTGGGGCTTGCAGGGATTTGTAAATTTTAACTTAACAAAACTCAGTTTTACTGCAAACAACTATTGCAATACTGTCAACATTTCTATATTAATGAATGGCAACACTCTCACTGAGTCCTCTTCCTTACATTTTCTTGGATTATCATTTAGTACTGACCTTTTATGGAAACCATATATACTAAATTAGCAACCATATTTCTAAATTATCAACCTCTAAGGTTGCTTCTCTTTATCAAGCTTACCATTTTCTTACTCCTGATTCCATTCTCTACATTCTACATTCCGCACATTCTTCTCCATTCTTACCTCAACAAATCTCTTATTCATCCCTGTATGGAATACTGTTGTTATATTTGGGCTTGTTTTTCTAATGATGTTCTTTCTCTTCTAGACAAGGTTCAAAAATGAATTGTAAACATAGTTGGACCCACTCTATCTGCAAAGCTTGAGCCTCTTTCCTATTGTTTTAAAGTTGCATCTCTTTCTCTTTTCTACAAGTCATGGACATTGCTCAAAGCAGCTATTATCTCTAGTTCAATCAACTAAAACTCATTCTCGTTTGACTCATGATTCAGCAAAGTCTTATTTTTTTACTGTATTTATCCCTGCATGCTCTAAAAACTCTTATTTGTCTAGTTTTTTTCCTCGCACTTTAACTCTTTGGAACTCTTTCCTATCTTCATGTTTTCTTGACTCTTACAACCTTCAACTTTTTAAGTCTTCTGTCAACCATTTTCTTGCTCTATAACTTCATTCTTTTTTTTTTAGTAACTTCCAACCTAATAGTGGTTGCTTGCAGTCTTTTTGAGAGTGAATCAGAATTTTTTTTTTTTAATTTTTAATTTTTGTTTTTTAAATTAAATTAATAAAATCTATAAATCATTTTTTTAAATGACATTTTATCTGCTTTAAATTTAATCTGTTTTAAATAACATTTTATCTCCACAGTTAACTGTAGAGATAAAATTACTACCCTCTTAATACCTACTAATTTTATTATTAACTTTTTGTTCTCATATTGTATACAACTTAATAAGTATTATTATTGCTTTTTAATTTTTTCTTAAATTTATTTACTACTTATACTATATAGTTGTTATTATCACTATTTTTGGTATTATCTAATATTGATTGTCTAATATTTTTATTGTTATTGTTAGTATTGTAACTAATAATATTCTTCTTCATCGTCATCTTATTATTGTTAATATTATTTCTATAATTATTATCATTACTATTATTATTGCTATTATTATAATTGTTATTATTGTTATTATGAACTTTTATTGTAATGTTGGAGATTTTTACTTTAGATTAGTATTTGTACTATTTGTAAAAGTCCTTGAAACTTATTTCAGAATATATTGAACTGAATTGAATTAAATTGAATTAAAGTTTGGGAGACTTGAGAAGTTTTATCGAGATATGGCGAATATATCATTGTTATATTTGTCATGTGTCATTTTAAACCAGGTATATTGAAATTTCATAAAGATTTTCATAAAATAATATGGAACCTGTTAGATATGGATTTCATAGCTGATTGATTCGTACACTGTACTAAAACATGCATATAGTATTTTATTTATAAGCTGAATAAAAGTATAGTAACGGGTATTTTTGTAAAACTTACCAGTGATTAAAGCTACTTTATTATCTAAACGAGTAGTCATCGTTATTCTGTGTTAATAACCTTTTAATTTCAACGGAAGAATTACTAGAATTTTAATAGAATCTTAGCGACGGTGCAGTGGACTGAGTGAGTGTCAATGATATATTGTCGGTGTAAAGTCATTACCACTTATCTTTTAAAAAAATGCGATTTTTGGGGTTTTAATGCTTTTGAACTGTTATATATCATATGCATCTTCTGTTAAAATTCTTTTCTTTTTGTTCTTTTTCTTCTTTACATATTTATATAATTTTTTTATACTTTTCTGTAAATTATATTAATTTATTGTTAAATATTGTCAATACAAATTTATTTTAAATAAAATAATATGTATTATAATATCTTCCGCATTGAATACAGTTCCATAGTGTAGTGGTTATCACGTTCGCCTAACACGCGAAAGGTCCCCGGTTCAAGCCCGGGTGGAACTAATTTTACCTTGTAATCATAACTCTTCTTTTATATATTGTTATATATAAATAAAATAATAGTTATAACCAAGGCCGGCGCGATAGGGGGTGTGACACCCCCCAACAATGATTTTTAGTCGGCAAACTGGACCCTTAGTCGGCAAATCGGACCTTTTTAGATTAGTTAGTCGGCAAATGTCAACTCTTTCGATATAGGTTAGACAGTCGGCAAATGTCGTCATGGCAGTCGGCAAATTTTGGAAAACGAGGCTCTTTTTTTTTTTTTTTTTTTTTTGTGGGCAAAAGTTGTAATGGCAATTCTTGGTAAATTTTTCCTAAATTTTTTGTTTATTTAAAATTTTTATAGAATATTTGAATATTTACTATATTAAATTTACGGTAAAATTTTAAGTTTTAAAAAATATAATTAATTATATATAATATATAATTAAGTTTTTTAGTTTAAAAAATATTTTTTTATCATATACTCATGGTCAATAATTTAAAAATAACTCCACCACAAGTATTTTTGTACCATTTTTTAATACATTCAACTATAAACCCTTCTAATATTGAGATGTTAATACTAATCCAATCCAGTCCAGTATTACTCTGAATATAATGGCTTAGTGTCAATACGGTTCCATATATCAAGAAAAGTCAATTAAGGTAAGTGAACTTCTCAAGTCTTCGTCGGTTGGACTAAAGCACATACTGCGCGTTCTAACATCGTGTGTAATTCCTGTCTGCTTTCTATGTGCTCTTTTCCTCTACACCACTACTTCTGTCTTTCACTCAAATATATCTTCGTTTTTCCCAAACTCACTTTACTATTGGTCCCTAGAACAAGTAATGACGCTCCTAAAGGAGCTGAACTTGTCTTTGCGGGCCTTGGTAATGCGGCCTCCACAAGGCAATTAACTGGCGGAGAATAAACCACATTAACTTCGTGTATTTTCTTTAATGAACTTAGATTCAAAGAAGATATCATTCACAACGATATCCTCGTTTCTTCAAATCAAAGACGATACTTCTAAAAACTGACCAACTTCAAAAAAATTTTATTGCAAAACATTTTCTAAATAATTTATGGTATAAGACTTATACAATTTTTCATTAAAGATTGAATCAAAATTAACTTGATCAAAATAAATACATTCCATTACAACATGGGGAATAATGTGATCACTTCTTTCTAACTTCAATGGTTTTGCGAGTTCATTACATTATTTTGTTTTGAATAATCTTTTTAAAAAAGGCGAACGAGATTAAATTGTTTTAGCCGTTTGATGCAACATTAAGTGTTGCATCAAACATATATATATATATATATATATGTATATATATATATATATATATATATATATATATATATATATATATATATATATATATATATATATATATATATATATATATATATATATATATATATATATATATATATATATATATATATATATATATATATATATATATATATTAAATATTTAAATGAAAAAAATACGACTTTTTTATGGGACTTCAAGTTTCATGCCATTCGGCAATCATTCAGCCATATATTTAAAAATCATTAAAATAAAAACCATTATAAAAATACAAAACTGCGTTGCAACGAGATCAAACGTCAGTTTTCACGCCAAACGGGAATTTATTTAATATTTCATTTCAACATACAATAAAGAACCTTTGTTAAATCATAGTCATAATATCAGATAGTCCGGCCAGTTGGGCCGTTTTCGCAAGATTCTATTGTTTTTAAACAATAAAATTTAAAACTTTGAATTTATGTTGAAAATCGTTTATTTATCGTGCTCAGACTACCAATAAGTGCACAAAAATCTAAAAAATGGCGAACTCAACAGATAAAAAAAGCGGCTATTTCCTGAGATCAGATCCCTATTTTGATTGGACGAAAAATTTGACTAGCGCTAGGTCCGAAAAATTGTTTCTCGTTAGCCGGATTAATTTTAACTTGCTTAATATAAAACCTTATATATATGTTCTATTTACGCAAATATTTACCAGCAGACCACGCTGCAATTTTTTTATGTTGATTTTTCACAGAATCGTTGCTAAAGGTAAAAATTATATTATAAAAAGATTACGATGGTAAGTTTTGAGAGTTATATTAGCATTTTTAATATTACTGCTAAAAAAACACTAGAATTTTCATTATTTACATAGTTAAAGTTTCTTGTACTTTATATAAAATTATATTAGCATATTTAATATTACTGTTTTACACATAACTTTTATATTTAAAGTAGTCTTTAATTTCAAATTTAATAATATATGAAATTGTTGTGCATTTTATATTAGAGAAATGTAACATTACACAAGATGACTTTGTTTCATAGTTAGTTCAAATATAACACAATATTTTTTGCATTATTTTTATATATTTGTTATTGTTTTATAAGTTTTACAAACTGGATTTGTGTAGGCATGAATGCATATGTGAATGTATATGTGATATATTTTCTAATCTTTAATCATAAATGATTTATGATTAAAGATTAGAAAATATATCACATACAAACAAACAACAATAACAATATATTTCGTGTTACAGATGTTACAAAAACACAGGTCATTGCAAACAGTGATTCACTAATAAAGCGCAATGACCTAAATAAAATAAAAAGAAGTAATAATAATAATAATATGTAATAAGTAAAACCACATAAAAAAGTAGGTTATAAAAGGAAGTTAAGTTAAATAAGTATAAACATAATAATAACTAATAATAGTAAAATTGCATAAAAGTTTATTAAATTATACCAAAAAAATCAGTTTTTTAATATATATATATATATATAAAACAATTAATATAATGTACATTTATATATGCACATATACTTAAACAAGAATTATAATAAAATAACTAAATTATAATAAAAATAATTATTAAAAATAAAATATTAAAAATAAAATTAAAATATATAATAAAAATAAGTCAAAAGATAGAAAGTAAAAAATTCAAAAGTAAAGTTAAGCGTAACCTTCTAGGTAGAAATGATGGAGTGATTTTAAGAACAGATTCTTGAACCTAAGGATGAGACCTGATTTTAGGGTGTTTTTTTTTAGAAAAGTTAGTATTTCGAGTCTTAAATATAATTATTTCTGATTTTTTTAGTATTCAATGACATTTTATTTGCTCTAAGCCATTGAACAAGACTGGGCATATCCTGATTAATATATTTATTAAGTTTTTTGAGAGAGTTTGTTATTAATTGAAGATTAGTATCATCAGCAAAATGATACGTTTTTGAATGTTTGATTGAAAGATTGAGATCATTATTATAGATAATAAAGAGAAGAGGACCTAATATGAATCCCTGAGGTATACCAATTGAACCATTTTTAATATCTGAGCTGGTTCCATTTATAGTTACAAATTGTTGACAATCAGAAAGGTATGATCTAAACCACTGCAAGGGTATGCCACGTACACCATAATAGTTAAGCTTTAAGAGAAGAATTTCATGGTCTATGGTGTGCATACATACATAATATATTTGTGTACATACATACATATTTGTGTACATAAAATATATTTGTATGACAGGTTGGCATGCATTCATGCCTACACAAATCCAATTTGTAAACCTTATATTAAATGATTATTTTTTACTTTTACAAACTTTTTTTACATAATGTCTAGTTTGTTTTTAAACTACTTTAGACTACTTGTATTATTATCGAAATAGATTATTATTTTATTTTAATAGTGAGCATTTATTATTGTGAGATTATTATTAATAGTGAGATTATTATTAATATTGTTAGATTATTATTATTAATAGTGAGAGTTTATTATTGTATTGAAATTTTCATGCAGTTGAAAAGTAGCTTAAATATATAATATCTTTGCAATGGAAAAAGTACTGTTAGACCAAAATTACTTAAGTAAAAGTAAAAAAAGTGCAGTATATTAAAAGTTCTTTTTAGACACACTAAACAGGCTTGGTCGGGAAGCGGGAGCGATTGCTCTCGAATACTGACCACAGTAATTATATTTAGTTGCGAAAAACTGGCCAGGTAGTTTAGTTGTTTTGAGAACATTTAAGTTTATGTACGAAACAAAATATTTTTGTATTGCGGACATACATGGAAACATAAAAAACTTGAATGTTCTCAAAACATCTTTGTGCAAAATAGTAAAAAGAATATTCACGAACACTAAAAACCCGCCAAATTAACGAACAAACTAATTCTATTGGTTCAAAAAATACACTGATTAAGCGAAATAAAGAGTATTCTTTTTTTGCTTTTTAAAATGTTCTCAAATCAACTAAAAAATCTGGCCAGCTTTTCGCAACTAAATATTATTTACATGGTCAGCAATCAAGAGCGATCGCTCCCGCTTCCCGACCAAGCCTGATTAAAGTGCTTTTATGTGTTGCTAAAGTAAATACATTCTTTGTTAAATAAGATAACATACATGAGAAGGAACTTTTAAATTATCGTTAAACAAAACAATTAAATCTATCAGCTTAAATATTATTGTTCTAATAAACTGGCGGGTTTAGCATATTCTTCTATTAATGCACAATTTTAAACAACAGCTTCTGTTGTTTAAAATATTCATCTATCATTCTAGTTGTTTTCTTGCAAAGAATTGTTTAGTTTAGTTTAAGAAAAGATTTTTGTCTTGGTTTAGTTTAAGAAGGAATAAATTATATAATTCTATGTTTAGTTATGATGACATTATTTGTGATTATTTAATTTAATT